TAAGAGACAGACTGCCATGATTCAAATATATGAACCAATACATTTTCATTTTCGTTTAAGCAGGTTTGAGTTGGCTTCCTGTCACTTGTAATCTAGAGTGCTGACTGATGCCCCTGCTTCATATATTTGACTCTTGTTATTTTATCCAATTTCCAGTGATCCTACCCCTCCAATATCTTCTCCTGTGTGTTATCACTGCTACTACCCAACTCAAAATCTCATCATTTGTCATCCTGAGTAAACCAATAGCCATTCTCTTATTGTAAAACAATTACAGTTTTTTTGTTTGTTTGTTTGTTTGTTTTTTTGGTTTTATGAGACAGGGTCTCACCATGTGGTTGAGACTGACCTGGAACTCACTGTGTAGTCCAGGCTGGTCTTGAACTCACAGCAATCCTCCTGCCTCATCCTCCCAAGTGCTGGGATTACAGGTGCGTGCCACCACTCCTGGCCTTTTTAGGGTGTTTTGAGATAGGGTCTAGCTATGTAGTCCAGGCTGGTCTGGGACTCACAGTGGTTGTCCAGCTTCAATCTGTCCAGTGCTGGGATAAAGGCATGTACTATGGCAGGTTTTCGCTATGTAGTTCAGGCTGGCCTTGAACTCACTGTGTAGCCCATGGTGGCCTCAAACTGGTGGTGATCCTCCTGCCTCAGCCTCTTGAGTACTGGGATTGCAGGCGTGTGCCACCATGCCTGGCTGCACAAACCCTTTAGAAGGTAGCAAGGCAGTGTCCACCACAGCAGAACAGCTGTGTTCACCTCGGCATGTGTCTGCACTGCTCGGGACGGTACTGTTCACACCAGCCCAGATGCCAGAGAATGGCCAGACACGTGTGTTTTTTTCCCATACAGGATGCCAAAAAAACAAACCACAGCTACTCAGCAGTGTGGACAGACCACATAGGCTAGAGTTAACAGGGAAAAGCCAGAACGGATGAGGTGGATCCAGTGTTTGCTTCTTTTTTTTTTCTTTTTTTTTTGGTACTGAGGATCGAACTCAGGACCTTTTGCTTGCCAGGCAGGGGGCAGCACTACTGAGCTAAATCCCTGGCCTTGGATCCAGTGTTTACAGATAGAGGTCAGTATTAAAAATTTCAGAAAGAAGGAGCTGGGCATGTGGCTCAGTGGTGGAGTACTTGCCTGGCATGCAGGAGGCCCTGGGTTCCATCCCCAGTGTGACAGAGGAAAAAAATCCTGTAAAGAAAAGTGAGGAATTAAGTTACTTCTGAGGCAGGGAGATGCCTGATAACTAGGAAGGGGCATATAGAGGTCCCAGGGATCTCCTGGTGTCATTTCTTGACGCAAAGGGAATACTACATTGCCCATTTGTTTTATGTTTTTTGTTTTTCCTGGTACCTGTTTCATAATTTAAAATGTTAGAATGACATACAAGGAGGATAATACCCCGGTGGCGCTAGACCTTAGGAAATTGCAGCCTACAATGGGGACAGCAGCTGGGGCAGGGCCTGGCTCTTCCATCTTGGGGGTGGCCTTCCTCTGAGCTCCAGAGGGTGAATGGTTAACCCTAGGTGGTGTGTATGCACACCAGCGCATTCCTTTGCTCCCACCGTGCTGTCCTAGCCCCAGGGAAGCTGATGCCCAGGAACCCCTGGCATGACAACTAACCTCTCAGGCCACAACCCCTTAGAGGGAAGGGCCGGGGTGACGGGGAGCCCTGGGAGATATGCATCTCATATACTGACTTTCCCTGCAGCTGGAAAACCTCATGCTGGACAAAGATGGCCACATCAAGATTACTGACTTTGGCCTGTGCAAAGAGGGCATCAGTGACGGGGCCACCATGAAAACCTTCTGTGGGACCCCAGAATACCTGGCGCCTGAGGTGTCTGGGGCTGTGGGCAGGGGAACGTGTAGGCCAAGGGCGGAGGGCCCCTTGGACCCGTGTCCTTCCTCAGAGGGCACAGCTGTGACCTCACATCCCCCTGCTGCCCCTGGGCACTCACTGCCTCTACCCCTCAGGTACTGGAGGACAATGACTACGGCCGCGCAGTGGACTGGTGGGGACTGGGTGTGGTCATGTACGAGATGATGTGTGGTCGCCTGCCCTTCTACAACCAGGACCACGAGCGCCTCTTCGAGCTCATCCTCATGGAGGAAATCCGCTTCCCGCGCACACTTGGTCCTGAGGCCAAGTCCCTGCTGGCCGGGCTGCTGAAGAAGGACCCCAAGCAGAGGTGAGTGCTGCTGTCTGCTCTGTCCAGCTCAGTGCCCCTGCTGCCACTGTCCCTCAGCCTAGAGGCCATAGTGCCCACGGGAGTACTCCTCATGGGCTAGCAATGCATGTTGTCCCTTGTGGGCCCCCTGATGGTTCCCACTGGTGGCACTTGGAGGACACTTTTGCATTCCGGGCCAGTCCTTGGCATTGCCCTCACTGTGGTGATTCATGGAGACATCGAGGAACGCAGGATTGCTGTGCCTGGCCTAAAGTCACTGAGTTATATGCAGCTGAGCCAGGATACGAATTAGTCATTTTGCAAACCTGCCTTGTCACCTCTCTTGTGGACTCAGGGTGAGGGCAGACTGTGACTCCACATGGGTCCCGATTGCTGTCTCCCCGCTGTGACACTGGGCCCATGAACTCCCTGCCTTGAGCCTCTTTCCCCTCTTGTGAAGTGGTGGTTTGTGGCCAGGACAGAGTCCCTAAGGCCTTGCAGGGCCTGCACACCATAGCCCAGGTCCTGGCTGCTGTGGGCAGTGGGTGCTGATGGCTGTCTCTGCCCAGGCTCGGTGGGGGGCCCAACGACGCCAAGGAGGTTATGGAGCACAGGTTCTTCCTCAGCATCAACTGGCAGGATGTGGTACAAAAGAAGGTGAGCCCCCTTCCCTGCCCCGGCAGGAGCCCCAGGGGCCTGGCCGATCCCTGGTGACCTGGCTTGAGGCCTGTCCTCAGGGTCCCTGAGCATGTGCTCCTGTCCTCTGTAGCTGCTGCCGCCCTTCAAACCTCAGGTCACTTCTGAGGTCGACACGAGGTACTTTGATGACGAATTCACCGCCCAGTCCATCACAATCACACCCCCAGACCGCTGTGAGTGTTGGGCCACAGGCCACTGGGCTGGCTGGGGGAAGAGTGGTGGGGTCTGCTGTGGACCCAGTTCTCCGGGAGGACCCTGGCAGACATCCTGTCTGCATCTGGGGAATTTGTCCTAAGATGTTTCTAGGCCCATTTGCTGTTTGTCCTTCGTGGGTCTGGGGAAGGAGGTCATCACCACATTCCAGACCGTGGGACAGAGCTCTGGCAGGAGATGTCAGTTGTTGGGCTAGATTGATTTTTTGAATCGTAGCTGTCTGTGTTCTTACTGTGACCCTACCCAAGCTGCGCTGGAGACAGCAGTGACCGACCGAACCAGCCCTGGGCCCAGTCCAGGTTGGGGTAGTAGCAGCCCAGTGTGGTCAGGGCTTGTGTAGGATCACAGGAACCTGGGGAAGAGCAGAGGAACACCTGAAACAGGATGTTAACCAGGATGCATTCTGGGAGTGCAGTGAGGGTGCCAGTATAGGAGATCTTCGCAGTCAAGGGACAGGCTGCAGGCAGGGCAGAGGGGGCTGGGGCAGGTACAAGGTGTGGGGTCAGGAAAAAGATCTCAGGGGCCTCCAAGGGTAATGAGGAATTTCTTTTTCTTTGCACTGAGCTAAATCCCCAGCGCTTTATTTTTTATATAGGGTCTCATTGAGTCATGAAGTTGTCCAGGCTGGGCTTGAACTTGCTGTCTTTCTTCAGCAGCCTCCCAGAGGGCTTCGATTTTTTAAAACTTACTTCTTTTCTTTATATATGGTATTTTTCATCGGTGCACTTTAGTTATGCATAATGATCACATTCATCATAGGGACTTTGTACCTGTGCATGATGGATCTTGCTTCTTTTTTACCCATTCCCCGCTGCTCCCTTCACCCCTCTTCCCCTCCTTATTTTCAGAAGCTTTGTTTCCTTTTTTTTCCCTTGCCCCTCCCCCTCCCGTTTGAACATTTTCTTAGAGGGCTAGCAATACAGGCATGTGCTGTCATGCCTGGCTGAGTGGGGATCTTTCCCAGGGGAAGCTGTGGAAGGGTGTTGCGCAAAGGGCTAGGGCTGCGTCCGGGTTTGAGAAAGTCCTGTCTCCGTGTGGAAGGTGCAGTGGTGTGAGCAGGCGAGGGCAGGCACTCAGCCGGAGAGGTCTGAGCTAGACTCTGGTGGTGGCATGCGGGGGGAGGGAAGGGGACATTTGGGAGGCCAGGCGGGCCTGTGAAGCATCCTAGACCAGGCTGCCGGAGGCTGGCCTGGGAGGCGGGGCTGTGGTTGGGGGTCCTTTGGGAAACAGGCAGCTGAGCCTTCCGCATCTCATTCTCATGGGGAGCCCTTGCTGGTTGAGAGCTCTGCAGCCTTTTCTGAGGGGAGTTCTCTCGGCAGTCTGGTGGGGTGCCACTGGCCTCTGCAGGCTGGTCACCCCATTCCACCCCCACCCGACCCCACAGATGACAGCCTGGGCTCATTGGAGCTGGACCAGCGGACGCACTTCCCCCAGTTCTCCTACTCAGCCAGCATCCGTGAGTGAGCAGCCTGCCATCGCCACAGGACACCCCCACGGTCGCCGTCCACCACCTCGGTGGCTTTTTTTTAAAAAAACTTTTTATTTTGCCTTTTTGGTTTGTGTTTCCATCCCTCACCCACTCCCAGTTTCCAGTCTCTCCTTCAGTCCTTGCCTGTCCCCCTAGCTCGCTCCCGCAGCCTTCACTAAGAGCCTCCCCTTTCTGTCCAGACCAGTGTTGGAGGGCTGTCCACCTCCTGCCCCAGCATGGGCTGTTGGGAGGATGGAGAGATTCAGGTTTTAAATCAGCACAGCCCCAGGGAGGGCAAAGCGTGGAGCTGCGGAGCTGGCTTGGATTTCAGGCTGATTAGCCATGGATGGCTGCCTGTGCCACTGTTTCTGGATGGAGGCTGCTTCCAGACAGTCCCAGTAGATGGTGCCCGTGGCCTTCTGCATACTGTGGCCTGGCTCAAGGGCCTCGGTTCACCAGTGCCACCCCACTGGGGGCAAAAAAAGCAATAATTTCCAGGGACAGGCAGAGGCCTTTGGAAGCTATGGGACCAGGGGGTTGGGACTCTTTGGACCTGTGTTGTAGGGAACCAGGAAGGGGTGCCCTCCCCCTCTCCCTGCAGCTGCTCTCCTGACCTGTGGGTAAGGCAGGAGAGACTCTCGGGGACAGCCTGCCTGCCCCGCGCCCAGCCCCGTGCCTTACCAGGGCTTCCTTCCAGCTGGCCTTACCTCCTGCTGGATCCCAGGCCTGGCCTCAGCCTCTTGGAGGGTGGGGCTAGGGTCCTCTCCTTCTGCCTGGGGTAGAGGGGTGCCAGCTTCAGCTGTTACACGTCTCTCACAGAGACAGTATTGGGCCCGGTGGACTTGGGTGGAGTAGGGAGTGGGGTAGGTGTCTCTGGTACGAAGTGGGATGGGGGAGCCTCTGAAAACAGGGTCTCAGGCCCCCTTAGCCCCTCCCGGTCTCCAGAGCCCACATCTGAAGCCTTAAGGTGAACATGAGAGAGAGTCTGTATCTGTGCTGTGGGCACATGTGTGTGTGCCGCGGACTGAGTCGTGGGTGTCCCTGCTTCAGGATGCAGACGCACATGGCTGTGTGTGCACGTGTATGAGGGAGCGTGTCCAAGCCCTCAAGTGTGTGTGGTGTGTGTGGGCTCGGGCCCCACCATGGCCCGAGCACGTCATCCCATGGGGGGAGTGGGTACCTGGACCCACTTGCTGCCCTGCCCCCTCCTCCTCCCCTCAATGTCTTGGGGTGTTTGGAATTTATTTTTTGTGAGTTTGATCTCCCTGTCCCACCTCCCATACTAGGCAGTTCTCAGAAAGGCATGTGGGGGATAGGGGTGGTTTGGGTCTGGGGGATCCTATCTCCTTTCTGTGTGTGTATGTGGTTTATCTGACAACTTTCTCCACTCCCCACTTGCCTTATTCCCTGTATTTGTACGGTACAAGCAATAAAGACACTCGTTTGAGAACAGGGCCAGCCTGCACTTATGCCGGCCACTGCCTGACCTTGCCATGGTTCTGGAGTCCACCCAGCACCGTCCCACCTCTCCCTTGCTCTGTTCTGAGGGCCCTGCTGAGCTAAGGGGAGGGAGGAGGGGAGGTGGGCAGGTAGGGTCTGGGCCCAGGATGAAGAGGGCGGGGTGGTGAGGGAAACTGCTGGGAGTTTGGGAAGGTTCCTCTGGCCTAGGGCAGGGTGTGGCAGAGGGAGACCATTCCAGGGTCTCAGATGCTACTCAGGCTGGAGGGTATGTGTGGTGGTGAGGCCCTGGAGCTGAGCGGATGAGGACATGGCTCATCTCAGATGGCCTAGAATGAGGCTTTACTGCCACAGCCCCTTAGGTCCCCAAACCTGTGATGTGTCAGAGGGTTTTGTGGTTGCCATTAGTGAGGAGCACCCGAGCCTTTGGTTATGTCCACTCCCAGCTCTGGGAGTCACTCTGACACTGCGCCCCTTTTGCTGGGGGCCGGGACTGCCATCCTTATGTTCCCACGTCCGCATCTCCACACCTGAGTCACAGAGCCAAGCCACCTGGCTGTGGTGGCCTCTCCCAGGCCCAGGGATCTTGTCATACACGGGGCCTGGCACGCTTGAAGCCTTTTGAGGTCTTGCCAGGCACGAGGGCTTCACAGGACTAAGCTTGGAGGTTTTTAAGTGTGAGGGTCGAGGGAAAGTTGAGTCCTGTTCATGGAATCTGTAACAACAGCTACAGTGAAGGCTTTTAGTGTGCTCCGGATGGTGGTGGTTTTTTTAAGTTTACACGGACCTCATTGTCTTTAATTACTAGCAGGTGCTGTATGCAGGGTGCTTCACAAAGGCCTGTAAAGAAAAGCCATTTGCTTTTCCCTCTGGTCCGAGCCCCAGGGTGATGGATGTGAACAGTTTCCTCTCCCATCACAGTGTGGCTCCCTGAGATCTCCCGGTGTGGGTGCATTCCTGTCTACCTCGCGCTTTTAGTCCTATCAGCTGCATGGGCAGGTCCCACACTCAGTCACCTGCTTCTCTAAGTGGGACATGCATCCTTAGATGTACTGGTGCTTCTTAGTTTGAGGTGAAGAGTTTTAATAAATTTAACTAGTAAAAATGTATTGAACTGCCTTTTGTGTCCATTTTAAACATTTCATAAGGGGGTGTGTGTGTGTGTGTGTGTGTGTGTGTGTGTAAACATGTAAATGTATAAGGAAGAAAGTGAAAAATCACCTCAGGCCCCATGGTCTTAAATCCGCCCTGTACTGTGGTGTTGCTTCCTCCTTTTTGCATCACTTTCCTCCCAGGTACTGCCCCACCCACACTGACAGCCCCGGGATTGCCTGAGCCTCACCCCTGCGCTCTGAGGAGTTCCTGGTGCTTGTTGCTAGCTTTCCAGCTGTTTCCCAAGGCTCTGAGGGGTGGGTGCTGGCTCAGCTGTCCCTTCCTAGGGATTTACTTGGGTTTCAGGTTGGTTTTTGTTTTCGGCTACCTGTAGTGCTGTAATAAACATTAAGGACCCATCTTCCATTTGTGCTTTTGTGTTTGTGGCCTACATCCCTGGATTTTAATGTGTCAGATAGCTTTCAAAAAAAGTATAGTGATTCACATATTTAAAAATTTGAAATAACTGCAGACTCGTAGGAATCTTTCAGAAATGGTACTAAGATGATTCTAGGGCTGGGGCAGGAAATACCCACAGTGTACCTAGAGCATTTAGTAGTGTCCAAAGGGGCAACCTGCTGAACCCCAGGGGGGCTGGGGGTGGGGCTCGTGTGCTCAGTATGTGTGAAGCCACAAACCTACCCACCAACGGGGCTTTGCCTCAGGGACACAGGAGCCAAAGAGAAGAGCTCCCACTGGCAAAAGCTGGGCATGGGGGGAAGGCAACAAAAGACGGCAGTGGGGAATTTTCCCCAAAGTACGAAATCATTGAGTTTGTACTAGAAAGTGGGAATGGGAAGCACAGCTGTGAGGTGCACAGGGTAGAGGGCTCCTCTAGAGCACAGACTGGAGAAGAAGTGGTCACTTTCCAGAGACCTGATAAATGCTGCCTCAGCCAGGAGGTGTCAGGTTCAACATGAAATCACGTTGACAGCATGTAGCACTGACGGGATAGCACTTGACCTGTGTGGTCTCCTCCCCAGCATACATGGCCCCAGACTAGCCAAGGAAAAGGGGACCTGGGCAAACCCCAGATAAGCATTGTACAGAGTATCTGAAGCTGTCAGGGTCATTAAAGACAAGCAAAGCCTGAGACCCTGGCAGAGCCAAGAAACCAAGGAGAGGACTCAAAGTGGTTCCCTGCATGGGATCCTGGGGCAGAAAACAGGCAGGGCAAAGGACAGGAAGCCTGAGTGGGCATGGGTTTCGCTTGACAGAAGTTCAGAATTGGTTCTTTAATCCTGACACATGTGCCTCACTGAAGACTTGGTAGGACATGGGGTGTGGGGTAGCTGGGAACTGTACCATCTTTGCAGCTCTCTCAAAGTCCCAACGATTGTATGTAAAAGATAACAAAGTAGGGCTGGGCCTATAGCTGGCAAAGAGCTTGCCTAGGATGTACGGGTTCCTAGGTTCCATTCCAGTACTGGGAAAAAAAACCCTTCACCTAGGTTCCTCGTAACTTTTTCTTAACTGACAAAATTTGCATTTCAGGGCCAGGAATTTAGCTTAGTGGCACCTTGCCTGCCACACAAGAGCAATGTCCTGAGTTCAATCCTTGGTACCGCCAAAAAAATGCATTTTATATCTATTTTACCTTTCCTCCCCCCCTTCATATGCATTTATCTATCCTGGAACAGTAGTTTTCCCTGCCCAAAGTCCATTGCCAGGGTCAGGAAGGGAGCACGGACACAGTGTCCTCTACAGACCTTAATCACATTTTACTCATTATCACGAGTAATGTTCTGTATATTAAAGAAAACAACTGCCCTTCTGGCTAATTGCTCAGCCCAAACACTCACAATGGAGCTGGCCGTCAGGCAGGAAACTCACAGGGCAGTTATTCTGCAGATTGTTTCTCCATCAGGACTTGTTGCCTGCTGTGTGTCTGTGGTTAAATTCAAGCTATTGGCAGAATTCTCTTCAGTGACCGCTGCCCCCCCCCCCACTGGCCCCAACCTGTGAGGCCGTGTGTGGTGACATCCGTCCCTGCAGTGGCCATGGTCGATCCCGTGCAGGTATCTGGTAGGTTTCTACCCTGTGGTGGGCAGAGAGACCAGGGTTTCTTCAGGGGAGTGAGGGTGAGAACAGACCAGTGCCAGGTAAGAGAAGGACCTGGGGCCGAGGTAGGCGTGACAGGAAGCCACTGGCCCAGCATCGCTGTGCTCACCTGCCCAGCTGCACTGGCGTCTCAGTGGAAATTCCGTGTTTCCTACCTCGGGAGCTCTGCTCATTCACTTCCTCCCACTTGCGATGGCCTCCCCTCTGCAGTCTTCACTCTTCCTTCAGGTTTCATCTTCAGTGTCGTCATCTCACAAAGACCCTCTTGGACCAGTGTCTGTAAGTTATGTCCACCCTGTTCAGTCATTCACTCAACAAACTTTACTGAACATCTGCTATGCCAGCCCCTATTGTAGGCAATGGAGGAAGAAGACAAAAAGCTCTGCCCTCATGGGGCTCACATTCAGGTCAAGAGAGGGGCAGTCATACATGCTTGGTTACAAAGCTGTAAGTGCTAAGGACAGTGAGTGCAGAGATGAAGACCGCCTTTCTGTGGAGAAGGTCACTTCTGAGTAAATACCCAAAAGGAGGGTCGGGAAGGAAACTGAGGGGAGGGGATACGGTAGCAGGCAGAGGGAGAGCCAGTGCAAAGGCCTTGGGGTAGGAGTACCTGGTGTGTGTAAGGAGGAGCCAGGAAGCCACGTGGGTGCTGGAGAGGTGGGGGGCAGGGTAGAGCTCAGAGAGGTTTGTGTTGTGTGGCTGATACAGAACAGATGTCCTAGCCTTCAACACCCCCCCCACACACACACTCGCTTATCGGAAACTGAACGAAGAGCTTTGGACAGCTATATTCGCAAGCCTTTTTAACAATTTAAGGCAGGGTCTTGCTAAGTTGCCCGGGCTGTCCTTGAACCAGTGATGCTCCTACCTTATCCTCCCAGAGTGCTGGGATTCCAGATGCGCACCGGCCTTCACCTTAAAGGATTTGGGAGCCCAGGCCGTGTTCTGATGGAAAGTGCAGCCTGGTTCAGGTGTGCACTGGGCCCCTCCGCCTGTGTGTGGGGAGAAGGCTTGGGGCTGGGAGCAGGGAGAACAGCCCCGAGGGCACTGCCCTGGCCCACAGAGATCTTGGTGACTTGTTCTAGTGAACATCTCAGACTGTGTGCTCGGTCAAGGTGAGTGACCCAGTGCACAGGGGCCTGACGTAAATGCTCAAATGATTTATAACTCTGACGTCTGTGTGTGTGTGTGCGCGCTTTACTGTATCAGGTTCTGACACAAGTGCTGAACACAACACAGTCTTCTAAAGTCCTCAGGACAGCCCTATTGGCTAAATTTTGAAACAACTCCTAGGTTAGGATTGAGAAAGGTGAAACAGACCGCTTCTAGGCATCAGATCAAGAATTTGGCTGATTTAGGGGGCCGGGAGGAGGCGAAGGGGCCGGCCGGGCAGCCTGCTGGCGCAACCTTCATCTTCGCATTTGCGCCTGCCCAGGCGAAGCGAGCTCAGTGCGCGTGCGCTCAGGCGGGTTCAAAACTCCCGCCGTGCGTCCCTCCCTCCTGCTGCAAGCGTCGGTCCCGGCTCCGCGCTCGACGCCGGCAGAAGAATGCTAGTGAGAGACGGGCCAACGCTCCCGGCCCGACTCGGGCCTCTCTTCAGGCACTGACCGCCAGTCCCTCTCCTTTACAGGGTAAACTTGCCTCCAACCCAGAGTCTCCGAGCGCCCCAGTCCCCGACGGCGTCGCGGCGGGCACGAGTGCCTCCCCTGGACGCCCGGAGAGGCTCCCGCGGCCGTGCGCGCCGCCAGGGCTGGAGGAGGCGCTGAGTGCGCTGGGGTTGGAGGGAGAACGCGAGTACGCTGGGGACATCTTCGCTGAGGTCATGGTGAGCGGCAACCCTGGTGCCAGTCCTGGGGAGCAGCTGTCCCACAGCCACTCGGAAAGCCCTTCCGAGCCCCACCTCTCCGGCGGTCCAGCAGGCTCCCCTCCCTCCTCCCACACCGTTGACTGAACCCAGGTCCTTCACCTCCAGCTCTCTCGCAAAGCCACTGAGCTGCTCTGACTGGGCTCGAAATCCTCCTGCTTCAGCCATCCGGAGTGCTGGGATTACAGATGTGCCACGGCCCAGCTTTCTAGGCTTTTGTTTTCCCCTACTCAGGGGAATTCTATTTCCCATGGGCCCCAGGCTGTCTGCAGCTCTCCCTTTGGTATTTCATAGTCCCTTGTATTTTTGCACCTCGTATGTATTCCTTTAAGAAACGTTTAGCAATTTAACACGTTTTTGAGCATGTTCGAGGCAGGCGCTGGAGCTATGACAAATATGTCTTCATTCTAGGAAGACAGACGAGCACATATATCCTTTTTACAGAAGGTCGCAAAGGCCAGTAAATGGGCCATGGTAGTCCTGAGAGTCTGCCTGAAGAGACCCCGAAGGGATGAGCCTGACCACATCTGCCAGGGCCTCTCTTGGGCTGGGGTCTCTGCGGGGACCGAGAGTCACTTGTGCTCTTGGAAGTCTCTACCCTCGCTAAAGGCAGACGGACCAAACAGCGGGAGACCCTGGGTAACTGAGTGAAGATAAAGTGAGAGGACAGAGTGACAAAGTGAGGGGATGAAGTGGAGGGAAGAGTATCAAAAGGAGATTTGAGGGCCTGGGATTTAGCTCAGTGGTTCTGCCGCCTGCCTCGAAAGCACGAGGCCCCAAGTTCGATTCCCTGTTACAAATAAAATAAAAAATTGGTAGAGACCTGAATGAGAAAGCATTTGGAGGAGCAAGGGGAGAATCGGTTCAGGTTGAGAGGATGCTTAGTACCAAGGCTGGTGTAAGAATGGTCTTGGCACGGGTGTGGCTGGAATGTGGATTGTGAACGGGGAGAGGGAAGCGGTGACATTGGATTAGGGGCAGGGCCTGAGAGCCTCTGAGAGGAATTAGGGCTTCCTAAGTGTACCGGGGACCCCGGAAGAGTTTTAAGATAGGGGGTTCCTTGGTTAGACCTTTCTTTGCATAGACCGTTCTGGGTGTTCCAATGGGAAGGGGCCAAGGGTTGGTGGCAAGAGTGGAATTTGGAAATCCAGAGGCGGGGGATGTCCCGGGAACCACACAGTGGAGAGGTGGGTAGGGAGGCATCCAGAACAAAGTCCGAGGTCCTGGACTGCGACAGAGGAGGAGCACAGCGGGAGGCATTTGACTGTGGCACCCCGGTGACGTCCGATGGTCCGGGAGGGGTTGTTGCACGCGGGGCTGGAGCGCGAGAGGACTGAGGCACAGGTGTGGAGAGTGAGGCGGCTCTGGCCCAACCCCAGGTGTGCCCCGCGCTGCCCGGGAGGGCCCTGCCCCGCACCGTGACTCCGGAGATGCGCGCCCTAGTGGTGGACTGGCTGGTCCAGGTGCACGTAAGTACCCGGGAGAATGAGGGGCACCTGTGTTGCCGCCTGGGACCCCGGTGGTCACCCGCACCCCTCCTCAGGAGTACCTGGGCCTGGCGGGGGACACACTTTACCTGGCTGTGCACCTGCTCGATTCCTACCTGCGCGCGGGCCGAGTGCGCCTACGCCGCCTGCAGCTGCTGGGAGTGGCCTGTCTGTTCCTGGCGTGCAAAATGGAAGAGTGCGTGCTTCCCGAGGTACTTCCGGGGCGGGCTTGGGAGGACCGAGCCCGTGCTGCAACCTCGGGTTAAACTACTGAGTCGAGTGCTTTACCGCCTCCTTGGCAGTCCAACGAATCTGGGGTTAGGGGCTGCTAATGTGCCCCTTTAACAGAGGAACAGGCCAGGCTTAGTGGTACACGCCTGTATTCCTAGTTTTCTGGGTGACTGAGGCAGGAGGATCGCGAGTTCGGGCCCAACCTGGGCAATGTAGGGACTCAGGCCCTGTTTCAAAATTAAAATTAAAAGGCTGGAAATGTAGCACAGTTTTAAATCCCCAGTACGGGGTGGGGCAGAGGAGGAGACTGAGGCCCAGAGAGAGGATGACATTTGCCCCTTTGGGGCTTGGAAGCATTCTGGAATAGTTTACAGTAGAAGTGCGCACGTGCATAAACTCCGCCTTATTGGAGCTGCCTGCGAAGTGAGCAGTATTATCTGGGTTTTACGGATGAAGAAGAAATGGAGGTAGAGAATTTAATGAATGTCCTATGTCACACAGCGAATAGACGGTCACACCAGCGATTCTTTCGATGGCGCCCACGCTGTTCAGGACTTCCAGCCAAAAGTCAAAGCCCTCATTTTACAGAATAGTTAACTGGGGCCAGGAACTTGGACTGATCCGACCCCAGGCTCTCTGGGGCGGAGAGTCTAACCCCCCCACCAATCCGCAGCCCGCCTCCCTCTGCCTCCTGAGCGCAGGCTCCTTCTCGCGGGCGGAGCTGCTTCGAGCGGAGCGCCGCATTCTGAGCCGCCTGGATTTCCGGCTGCACCATCCCGGCCCGCTGCTCTGCCTGGAACTGCTGGCCGCGC